GTCCCCCCCCCCCCCAATCACAGACAATAGAATTCACAGGAGCCCTCAGCAACTCCAAATTGGTGAAAGTCTCTTTTCCTGAACACACACTTTTTTTCTCTTCAGTTGATACTTCCCAGCATCCAAAATATGAATTTATCTTGGACTTCTAGTTCACCTGTTAACCTGTGCTTATGTGATACTTCTTGTCAGACTTCAGTTGCACCTGTTTTTCAAGCCTAGTTAAAGACTTGGTGTGCAACTTGTAGTCCCCTTGCACTTTCTATCAGCACAGAACTGGTGATTTTTATATTCAACACTGAAGAGAGATCTTTCTCTACTGCTTCTTTTATAAACACCATGAATGCATCAGGATAAGGTTGAGGTATGTACCTTGACCACCTTCATATGTAAAGAACTTGGTCTGAAGAGAATGTGATTGTTTTGCATAAACATATTAGAGTTATGAGCAATTAAATTAGCTTGTATGACATTCCAACCCATTCTACAGAATTTAATGGTGCAGGTATAATTTATTGTATAAACCAGTGTTTTTCAAACTTTCTAAAATCATAGAGACTTTTCATATTACTTCTGCTGCTGGAGCCTCCAACCCTTGGCTCCACAGGCCATGTGAGCTAATGTGAAGCCAGGTGATGTGGCCTGGCAGTGGTGGTACACCACCTTCTGCCTTGCTCCACCATTATCCCCAATCTCTTTGCAGAGCCCCTGATGACCTATTGCAGAACACCTTGGTTGCACAGAGCATAGGTTGAAAACCACTGGAATAAACAAACAAGGAGGTACCCCCTCATGATTCCTGCATCAAGAAGCTGTCATAATGGACTTTGTACCAATAATGAGAGAGAACCCTAAAGGCTCTTCATCATCTTACAGGATTCATCAATGATCTAGAAGACTTTCCAAGCAAACAGTTCAACCTAACCTTAAGTGCTCTCAGAAGAGATTCATCATCAAGCCAGTATGCCTATTGATAATGGAAAATCCCATTTTAGATCTTTGCCATGAAAGAGCATATGAAATGCTCAGCTCTTTGTTCCACAGGAGGCATGAACCCAGCTTCATTTCAAGATGTCTTCCTTGTTGTGGGATCAAGGGCTTATGTATACATTTCCAGGATTACGTGCAACCTTGTATAGGACCAAACTATGCTAATTCTCATAAGCTAGAACTGTCTCAGGCTATGGACAGATGTTACAGTTGTGCTAGGAAAAACACCTTTTCAGCACAAAAAACTAACGCACAAGTGTTCATGTGGATTCTGGCAGAAAAAGCCTAGTATACAAACTGCTAGCTGTTTCAAACAGCAACTTCACTATTTTCCAGTGCCATGCATGTAAAAAGCCTTTTCAGTTATACCTGGCATAATTGAGGTCCCTGTGACCAACCTCCCAGTATTTCCAAAAGAGGAGGGAGGGAGAGTGGCTGGCTCCCTGATAGGCTGCCCAATGAAGAGCTGTTGGAGCCTTGCAAGACCCCTGCCACTGTGGCACCTTTGAACAATGTTGGCTCCCTCCAGCACTGTTCAGATCATAGCACATCCTCCTGCTGCTCCTCGAACAGCACCATCAAGAGAAGAAATTCCATACAGTGGATGTTTCAAGGATGTGTTCAGGCTACTTTGGCAGGAAGAACTTTTATATACTATTCTCCTGTCTTTTCATTGCCTTCTCTAGGGCTTCAAGACATCTCCGTTTTGAGGATATCAAAGTAGATGATTACTCACTATATGTTAGCTGGATGGTAGTGGACTGATTTATCCGTCCTTGCAAACATAATGTGCTGTATTTCCATGCTCTTTACCAGAGCATGGAAATGTGTAACTGAAGCTTGCAAGATGGCTATATGGTATGACTGATTTAAGCATTATGTTCTTGGTCTAACTGCAAGATCAGCTGCTAAAGTCAAGAAGACAGTGTTGCAACTGCTCTTTAGTTAGCATAATTTTGGCTGGGTCTTGGAGCTCTTAACACCTGGATTGTTCTCACATTAACACGTAAAACTAGTTTTAAGCACTCCTCATGCAGCTTAAAGCTATGCCATTCCAGGGCAGGATTATCTCTGATCTGTGCTTCTCAGCCCATGTTGCATTAAGGTGTAGCCACCTTAGTCAACCTGTAGGTCATGACCCAAAAGTGGGTCGCAAGAATATATGAAATAGTCATAATCAAACTTGAAAAATGGATCAACGAACTTCTTAAAAAGAGAGAGAGAAAAACATGGGAAACTGGCTATTTCCGTGCAGGCTCTCAGAGTTCCAGCCTACAAGTGGCTGTTTGGGGGGCCCCCCATTCCCACCACACCCACCCTCTGCCCCACAGAGGGGTGGGTTGTGGGGGAGGCTGGGACCTGGGGGGTGGGGAGGCAACAGGT